AAAGCTTTGGGAAACTATTTACAACTTTATCTAAAAATTTTTATTTTATTTACATCTATTCAAGTTACTTGTTCCTAAAAGTTGAGCTGAAATTACCCATAAAAACTTTATGAGGCGTGGGAAGGGATGGGTTAAATAGGCGATGGGAATAAGGAGTGCCCTCGTCCTAATGAGCACAGGGTGACCTATGAAGTGCTGAATCACTAGATTGTACTCCTGAAACTAGAGCCACACTGCGTGCCAACTAACTGAAATGAAAATAAAAATACTAAAAAACAAACAAACAAAAACTTATGAAACATCAAAGTCTGTCATTCTCCCAAGCTGTTTTTTTTTAAACGTTTTGTAACTGAGATCCCATCTACTTATTTGAATTTCAGTAAACCCAGGCACATGAAAGTTCTAATTAATTTTAGTGCTGACAATTCTAAAAAGATGTCTGCTTTGCTTAAACAACAACCAGACACAGACCCGACATGTGAAGTTGAAACACGCATGGGATAGTTTCTCCCTTTCTGAGAGGTCTAGAATGCCCAGTCCTCACAAGTGTTTGTCTAAAAACCAAAGAAATATAGAGCTCTTTGTAAACGAATTTTGACAATGTCTCCAGAGAGAAAAATATCTCACATTGACGACGTGTATTTGTGGACACACAGATCGCTGCAAAGACCCTGGGGTCACTGACGTTCATGGAGACATTTATGGAGAAAGTGTTAAGGTTTGTATGTGTCCCTGGAATTACGAAGGACACCGAGCCAGGGTTTAGGCACAGGAGCCCTTTAGCAGATTGTATTTTAAAAAGACCTCTTTCCCTTAGTTTCCCTCAGTCCCAGGCACTTGTGGGCTGTGTTTACATTTCAAGGACCTGATCAGATAGATCACTTTGAGGACAGAGAAAGAATGCAGGTTCCTGCAAGAAGGACTTTGCTTTCCTAAAGCCAACCATCTATAAGCCCTTTTCTAGGACTAGGAGAAGTGTGGGGTTGGGTGAAGGGACAGGGGAACTCTGGATTGACCCAAGAGCTGCATTTCTAGTTCTGTTCGTGTTTGTCAGGACAGCTGCTCTCAGTATCTCAGACTTGGATGTTACTGCGTTCAGGACACAAGACTCCGTGTGCACCATCAACAATTCTCTTGGAACCTTGCTGACTTTTCTAGCAGGGGAAGTGTGGTCTGAAAGGTTGGGGGCTTGGCTCCAGGCACACCTTTCTGCCAGCCCAGCTGGGCTCTGGCCAAATAGGCCAGTTCCACAGGGTTCCAGATAAACATGCCGGCTCAACCGGGCTCTGGGCATAACCCTTGCAGCCCAAGCTGACCTGTCCTGGAAAGAAAGGCCC